AAAGTTGTTAATAAAGGTTTTTGAAAAAAGTATCACAACGACCAACCTCCCGGCATGCGTTGGGATCGATGATGCAATGCTCCCTGTCTCAATTCTGCAACTATTTGCACACTTGTGTGCTACGCAATCGAAGCCTTACAGCACACTTTTCTCCAAGTGCACTTTGCTGAAGTCTGCAGGGCGCAGTGCGAGTATTGAGATTGGGCCAGTAAATACAATATCTTGGACCGGATATATGACAGGACATGACAGAACAGCACTATGCCCTCTGTTGTCCTGGCGAGGAATTGCTTTGCAACACTCCCCAGGAGACGGAGAAGTCTGAAGGCAAAACACTTCTGTCAATGTGTGCATCTCTCTCTTGTGGAGCTGACGCAGAAGCAGAAACTAGGCTTTAGGGAGATATTCCTCCTTTGCAAAATAAAATAAAGGAACCCTTTGATTAAAAACTAAATCATCATTCACCTGGTCTGTGCGGAAACATGATCAGACTCTTTTTGAACTTGTTCAGTGTCAGAAACAGCACAAAATTTAGTTACTACATTTATCTCCATTCTAGACCCCCAATGCTTCTATACCAACACTGCAACTATCCAGTCACACTGCAGTGATGTCACTTCTTTACAACTTGAATAAAGTGTGAAAACGTTTCTGATTTCATCATCTCTGATAACATCATCAGTTGTTTATATGTATATGTAAATGGCTTTTGCCCCATGTTCTCAAGTTTCACCTGTGCACACTCCTGGCTGGTTACAGGTTGTAAGCTCTGCCCCTCTTCATGTACATGAATGGGATATTTTCAGCCTAAAAAGTAAACGTAAACTTCTGATTAATTTCTACAGGAGGGAACTGATGCTGGTTCTTCAAAGTCTCAATTTGTTGTGTTCAGACATTACTTTTGTCTCTGCTAATATAGTCTGAGTGGGTTAGAACAACTCCAGTCTCCCAGACTATGGCGCTAGGATTGGGACAATATTACATGTAACTTGTACCTAGTTTTGTAACTAACATGTTTTGTAACTTACTAAAGTTACATGTAATATTGTCCCAATCCTAGCTCCGTACCAGTCTCCCAGTCATTCATGTAAACTAACTCTAACACAGCTGAGCTCAGAATCTGCATCATCTGGTTCACAGTGGGAGGACTGGGTAAGGAGAGCTTTTGGAAGCTGTGAGCAGCCAACACACACAGAGGCTCATTCACAGGGTGGAGGAGTGGCTCAGATGGTCCCAGAGGGGCTGCAGAGTCAGCTCCATGCTTCTACAGAACCGGGCTGGTGGACTCACAGCCGATGGTTCTGTCACAGAGAAACCACGAGGGGAATGCAAACACACTCAGTGTTGCTCCGCTCTTCTGCTCTGTACCCACCTACGACGGGACAACGCAGAGCTCTGCAGACATTAATATTCACTACTGAGGATGAATCCTTGTTTGTGTGTAACCTAGAGCACCGATACAAGAATCCAACCCCCACATCACACTGATTAGTACTGAATTAATCCTTAGACACATAACACATTTACTTATTATTCTTCAACTAAATTTAATTGAATTTGCAGAGCTAATGTCACCCTGATGGTCACATGATGTTGTCATGGTGAGGTCACCGCGGTTATCAAAGCTTTCAAAGAAGGTTTCTACAATTAAATAGTCACCATTAGCTAGCATCAGAGACAAGTAGTACCAGTTGAAGGACCTCTGGCCCAGCTCACTCAACAAGATTTTTAAACTGATTAAATTTTGCAAGCATGAGAGACCACGCGCGTGGTGATAAAAAATCATGTTAATGTTGTCTCAGTACACCCCTGACACCAGTGTTGGTCCTACAGCGTGTGGTGTGCAGCAGCACGACAAAGACTACACACTACACTCAAACCGATTTCACATTCCCCGCTCAGACGTCAGATAGGAAATTTCCTCGTGACTTGCTAGGAAACAAACATCGAGCTTCCATCACCTGGCTTTCTGACTGGCTACATGTCACAATCAACAGGCATGATGTTGGTTGGTCCATGAGAATCAGATTTGCGATCAGTGTGGTCCCAAAATGCTCCAAAGTAGAACGAACCACTGGTAACACACCACACACTACAGGAGTATGTGATTAGATTAGCTGTGGAGCCATTACGGTAATCAGACCCATCTTTAAGACTGTTGGAAGGAGAGGATCGGGTCAAAAATAAGCATGATTATCCTGTTGTGAGAACTGGGCTTGAACTTCTGACTCACTTGAAAGTGACTTTAGTTTGACAAGCAATCAGAGGGCAGGTCACAGAGTTTTGGTTGAGATTTAGTAAACGTGACCTTGTCATGAAACTCGATGACTCCATCAAAGTGTAAACAAAGTGCAACTTAAAGTTCCAATCAGAGGTAAAAACAGGTGGGATCACATGCTTGCCTCTGAGGCAAATCAGCATATGCTGCTTTTGTTCCTCCTCAGACCGACTCAGATACCTGCACATGAAACATGTGAGCTGCTAGGACACTCAGCTTTGTTCATCAGCCAACAAAAAGAGTGTAAACCGACACCGGAGGACAGCTAACCTGTGATCTGCTGTCAGTAAATAGTCGTACTGTCCTCTAAACAAATCACCCAACAGGAAAGAGACTGTAGAAAGAACTGTGCTTCAGCTTACTCACACTGTCAAGAGGCTCAGAACATTTCCACAAATAAAGTCAATGAAAATAAATTCAAGTCAAGTCAAAACTACATAAAAGTCTCATTCTCCTAAATAAGAGGATAAGTGAAGTTCACACGGACTCTATTGAAGTGTGGAATTTCTGATTATAATCAGTCACTGAGTTTTTCATGCAGGCTGAACATGAAAATAGTCTCCTACACCTATCTCCTGCATTAGCTTCGGATAGAAAATAGACATTATAGGACACTCTAGGATTGGAAAATCCTACAGATCTGCGTCACACTGTCACTTCACATTCATGGACTCACCCATCTTGACCCACGGAAGACTTTTGTTGTTTTAGCTTCCAAGAAATAGCAGAGAACGTCTCGACTAGTAGAAGCTAACCGTTAGCATTAGAAACTCCACCACACAGCAGAACTCCTCCAGGCTTGTGTTACTGATGATACAGCAATGTTGCAGAGCAAACACAGTCAGTGGTATAGTTATGTTGATGTTAGCCAATCAGAGGCAAGATGTCCAAATATCAGGAAGTAAAAGTCTACATCCTGCAGTTTTTTGCTACTGTCTCGTTCATCTGACTTCCTGATTCAGGCGCATCTGAGCCTAACAAAAGATGAGTGGTACCACAAAGTCTAGACTGTGATCCAGTGGACTATAATGAGTGGGAGACCCTAATAGGGCTTTCACATCTGGACTGGCTCAGTCTAGCCCTGGTAGGTTAATTAATTGTGTTCACATCTGGGTAATCTGTACATTTTCTGTGCTCAGCTGACCTGCCCTCCGACGGTCAGCTTTGTGCAAAACCAACCAACACACC